TGGAGTGGCTGGGGTCACTGGACTCAGGGAGGGAACTGGGCTTTGTGCTGACAGCCAGGGGCAGGCCTGTGGGGTTGTTTGATGATGTATGGAGGGGGTTGTAATCATTGCAATGAAATGAAATACAACAGGATGAATGTAAAGCTGATGCTCTCCCATGTAAACCCACATAATTCATAATAAAAACTTAAAAAAGAAAAGAATGATGTCAAATTTTTTTAGTTTCAGGAAATGGTATTGACATTAATAAGGAAATCAGTATATTCTGATTTTATGGAAAATAATAAGAGACTTTAGATTGGTTGAATTGGAAGCCTAGTCTAGCAGAATATCCAAGTCTAGGCATCCAGAAGAGAACTAACATACCCAGAGGTCAGAGTAGAAATAAACATTTAGGAATTATCCTTGTGCAGATTATGGTGCAGATTATGGTTGAAGATCACCATGGTAGAGAAGTGAAGAGGACAAAGGACTGACACTGAGGAACATTTCTGTATTAGTTCAAGAACTAAGAGAGCTAAATATTTCTAAGCCAAGAGGGAAAAGAATTGCAAAAAGGAAGAAGGGAAGTACAGTGCAAAAAGAAACAAAAAAACAAACAAAAAAAAAGGATTATAGGATTCGATGATCCTAAGTCAATGATGATGTATTTTGAGAATATGTTCTTCCCTTCTACCTCATATATTACTGTTAACAAGGGAATAAAGAGTGGATGGAGGAAAAAAGAATGAATGGATGAATGGTGAAGTGGAGGCAGTGCGTGCAAACAATTCTTTGAACAAGTTTTACAGTGTAAAAAAGAGAGGAATCGGCTGATAGCAGTTTCCAAGAAACATGTGTCTGCTTTCATTTTAGATGAGGATAGTTTTAGTTGAGTAGAATAGAGAGAGATAGTTTAGGAATCAAAAGGAGAAAATGACAGAGTGAGTTCTCTTAGGAGACTAGATGGAATAGGATTAAATCCACTGGTGAATAATTTAGCCTCCACATAGGAACAATAGGCTCAAATATAACAATCGTGAGGATGCTGCAGGACTGGGAAGTGTTTCATTCTGTTTTGCACTGGGTCGCTATGAGTCAGAACCAATTCCATGTTACCTAACAACAACAACAAATGAGCTTTATCTAAATTGGAGACTATGGGGAAGAAGCAGTGAAAGATTATTAATATGCTTTCAATGGGGAAGGAAGGAAATAGGAGAATGTGAGAAATCCTCAGTATGTTCAAGGATGAGGCAAAGGAAGATGCTGAGAGGACTGGGGTTGGATTTTAATGTTGGAAAACGCCTGGAACAAAAACTTTGGGACATTAAGTAGTTCACCAGAGAAGAGTAGATGGGTTGTAAATTGTAGCTGGAGTTCGATAGTATGGATTTGTGGTGCAGTGTGTGACTGTGTATCTTTCTCCTGGAATACTCAACTCATTAATGATGAGGAAAGTTGATGCAGTATATTGCCCAGGACTGGGAAAATGGCAGAATATCATGAGGACAACGGAATCTAATTATTTTCCAAGTGCTGTATTGAAATAACAGCATGAACTCTTAGATAGGTAAGGATGTAAGTAAAGCATAAAAATATTAAGGCTTTGATGAAGACATTCAGTAGAGGAATAGAAAGTGCGAAGGAAGGAGAAATGATGGTCAGGTTTTAAGAGTGTGAGATGTTGGCCCTGAAGCATTTAAAATATTGAATTGAATTGATTTATGACAATTGGTTGGCTAAAGTGGAATGGAGTTGGGAATTATTACTTTGAGAAGATGGACAGACAATGAATCCAAGTGTTGGTAGCATATTAATTCAATAAGATATTGGTACAAGATAGACTGAAGGCAATATTATGAACCTCCTGAAGGAAGATGAAAGGATTGAATAAGTCAGTGAATTTCAGGATAGTTGATGAGTCAAAGAAGAAGAATAAATATCACAAAAGGAATGGTAAAATGCAAAGGCACTTTGATCTTCTTGGTATTTAAAAATCTTAGTCCCAGGTACTACACTCACTGTGTGTGGCTTTTGACCAATTACTTAATCTCACTAAGCCTCAATTTCTTATGTATAAGAACAGGATAAAAATAGTGTCTACCTTACAGGTTTATCATGAATATTAAATATGAATAATGTATGAAAAGCATAGCGCAAATAACATAAAAATAAATATACTAGCTGTTTTTGCTGTTGCTTCTATTAATGATGATGCCATTGTTGTTAACTGTCATTGAGTCGGTTCTGACCCATAGCGACCCTGTACAGGATTAAGAGTGAAGAGTTTACAGAGTTTCTGAGGAGTTGCTGGTGAGCTTGAACTTTTGGTTTAGACTGACCTTTCGGTAAAGTGGTTTCCTACAGTGACACACCAGGACTCCATAATGACACTGAAATGTATAAAAGATATATAGATCTTGCAGAAAGTGGGCCTGCTATGTTTTGTGAATGCGTCATAGAATAGATGTCACTTTTGGCCTGTAGTACTCCTGACACTAAGTATTAATACTCTTATCCCATCACATCTCTCACCTTTAAGCATTAGGAGTGATCTACTATGCTACATTGAAGAAATATAGGGATTTATATCACAATATAAATTGTGGAACAGACCATCAATTACTGATATGCAAATTCAAATTAAAGCTGAAGAAAATGAAAACAAATCTACGAGAGCCAAAATATGATC